CTAGTTCAACCTCACTTTGATTACTGCAGCCTTGTCTGGGGTAATTGTGGCAAAACATTATCTAAAAAGCTACGAAAAATACAGAACCGTGCTGCACATGTTATAACTTCATCAAACTATGACGTAGATGTCAATTCCTTATTTCACAAACTCAGCTGGAAAGACTAGTTGCATTTGTCTTGTGTGTTAATTACTATGAAAATTAAAATATGCCTGGCAAATCCTGCCTAATTTACCTTCAATATTAAGAACGATATTCACATGTTAAGACACCATTAAAACGGTATCTTTATGAATATGTATCGCTGATACATAGTAAACTAACATAGCAGGTCAACGTTAGTCACAGACAATTTTCAGACAAGAAATTCATCAACTTTAAGGCCTCTGGAGCCCAATGTAGAACCCACATTTTATCACTTTTCATCGTAAATGAACACGTAGGTGATAGATTGATGCTTGTCAAGTGTACCTTGCTTTCTGCGGTAGTCAACAGTGTCATCAGTTCATTTGTGCTTTCACACTCTTGTCTGTTGCATCTAGAAAACCCTCCCATGCCCCTGGAATTCCAATCATACAGTAAGTACCCCCATGCCTTTGGATTTCCAGTTCAGAGAACCCCCCTTGCTCTCAGAGTTTCAAAAAGCCACCCCTGGTATAGGTATGGATATTTTCTGGAATCATCCATTACATTTGAATATCATTGGTGACAAATTATGCCTACAATCATGGGTTTTTGACTTGTTTATTGTATTTAGAAATTTCACACCAAACATCACTATGGCAATTTCATAATTTACCATGTGAAATTATAAATTAATGCTGGAAATTTGCACCAAAATTAAGTAGTAATTTTTCAACCATGATATTACCATTTTAATCAACCAAAATCAGTTTTCATATGAACACCCTTGTTCCAATGTGCTATTGAACACGACTTTCTTTGTACAGTGTAGGGGAACAAGACAGTAACGTTTCTTTGCAAATTTTTGTTTCAGTGCTCAAGGAGTTTCAGATTCTTGTTGTAATGTTATTCGATCAAAATACTATGCACATACCTATAGTACTCTAAAAATGATCACACCCACCTGTGACAATGAATATAGGTCATGCAGAGTCAAGATTTTACCTTTAACCAGCTTTCCAGAATTCAAAAAGTGAGTGTCCAAAATGCACTATAGGGCCTGCTCAAATGAGCAATTTATAAAGCAACATATGAAAAATAGAACAATGTTCTTTAAAAAGTGGCCATCCACAGGACGGCTGGATGGCCATCTGGCTAGAAGCCTGCCTTTAACTGGTATTTGTTTCCCAAACTGGGCAAGCTGAAGTGCCTTGGTGAAGAACAAGTCTTCTTATATAATGAGGGTTGAGAAAGATGAACACTGAATTAAAAGTAAATTACAAAAGCAAGAACAGCTGTTGTAAAGTAGAGCTTAATTCAGAACAGGCATATACAAGGAGTTTGCTACTGGTACTTTAAAAATTGCTGAGCTTAATTTGTTTGTATGTGATCATTTTTTTTTTTTTTTTNTAATTTTTTTTTGTATGTGATCATTTTTTCTTTGCAGGCAAATGCCATTGGCCGCAGTGCAAAAACTGTTCGTGAATTTTTAGAGAAGCACTACACAGATGAAGTAGCAGATTCTGATGATGAGACAATTAAACTAGCCATTAAAGCTTTACTTGAGGTAGGCTCATTTTTGAGTTGGGTTATTTTCCTTGTATTGTCCAAAGGTTTCATGAAGATTTTTGGTGCTAGAAGGTTAGTTGAGAATGAGAAGGACATTAGATTGAATATGAGAATGATGCAAGAAAAGATTTTTTTTTTTTTCTCTTTCATTTTGTTTGGTGAGTGACATCTGTTGTTTGGCAAATAGAGATTATTTTGGTTGTGATGAAATTATGATCTCATATTTGTAACCACCGTACATGGCCACTGTAGTCAAGCTTTTTCACTCAAGGATAAACTCTTTTTTTGTGGGTTTTCAGGAAATAATCGTGGACGTTTTCAGTGTATACTGTAAATTGGTATTAATTAATAAATAACTTTATAAAATAACTGAGCTACTGAGTGCACTCTCATTGGTCGATAGGTGTGGTTAGATGAGAGTATGTAACACGGTTGTGACGTTTTAGATTCGCACGTATTTTTGAGAAATATTTTATACAAGCAGTAGAACACTTTTTCAATGATTACATAGCTTCATCTAAACACTCACTGGGGTGGAGAATTCTCGAAAGTTATGCAAACCCAAAACATAGTTGGGGGTTTGCATAACTGTCTTGAATTCTCCAACCCTCCTTGTGTTTACTGTAAATTACAGACCAATTTGTTCCCCTTTATTTTATTGCTCAAGTGCAACGTTTACAGGCTATAAGTTGAAGAGGATGAAACTACGATTTGAAGCATACTGTGCAGACAGAGAATTGAAAGATACTTGTATTTCTAGTATGTGTCAGACGGAGTCAGGAAACCATTGAATTGGCAGAGAATGGCTTCAAATGGCAGACATCTGTCCAAAGTAGAAGGAGCCAACTTGAAATCATTCTCATACCATTAGCATGTTTTAATAATACATGGTGTTAAAAAAGTTTAAGAAACCAAAACTCTTACAAGTTTATTTGTCATGAACATTAAGAATCACAAGACATTTTGGTAGTAGAATACAGTAGAATACGGCCAACCAAATTGACCAATCATGGCATGCGTAGTAACTGAAGGATATAACAATTGGGTGAAAGTTTCAAGCATTGTCTTATTGTTTAGGTGGTGCAATCAGGAGGGAAGAATATTGAACTTGCTGTAATGAGGAAAGGAGAAACTCTAAAGGTAAACGCAATATTTAGGCACTGCAAGGAATTTTCTGCGATGAAATCCTTCATTACTGAGAGTAAATAAAGTGAACATTTCCACCATTTTTGCTAACAGGAAAGAAATATTGATCGTTTCAAAGGTACACCTCTTTTTTGAAAAACAAAATTGCAATTAAGGATCAACTTGGAAATCAGTATGGTTTATCTTAAGCTTTAACTTTCATTTAGCAACTTGGAAGAGAACCAAGATTGAAATCAGGATTCACATCTTGTCTCAGATTGTAGCTAACTAAATTTCTGAAAAGATTGTAATTTGTAATTCTACCTTTTGTGCGATGTATTTATTTCCTGCAGATATTGCAACCAGATGAGGTAGATAAATTTGTGGAAGTTATTGAGAAAGAAAAAGAAGCAGAGGCTGAAAAGAAGAAGAAAGAAAAAGCCACAGGATCTGCCAAATAAAACTCTGTGAACCGTTTCTCTCACTAATCTTGAACTCTGCCAACCTGACCTCGTTTTCGTCATTTTTGTACTTAACTCTTGTTGCTAGTAATGAAGGCACCATGTGTTATAAATAACCCGTGAAAAAAATCACAGTACTTGTCAATCAATCAAGGTGTCAACACTCAAAGCTTTTCATTCACTGTGAAGTGATGCTGTGGCTTGATACGATGATGCAGGTTTGCATTTTAGTTAAAATCTTCAAACACGCACATGGACTGGAAGCGTGTTGCTCAAGCTTACAATGTAGCTCGAATTCCTTTTCAATGTTGTAAAGCACTTTAGGACGAAATTTCTGAGAAATTGTCAATACATCATAAAACTAGTCATTGGTTCTTTTCTGTTTTTTTTTTTTGTTTGTTTGTTTGTTTTGGATCTAACGTTTTGTCGCACGCGGTTGTTGAATTTGTCGTCGTATTTCTGTCACTCATTTCAGGAAAGACCCATACCCTAATGGCACCTGATGGTATAACAGCTGGCGTCATTGAAAGGTGCTTCAAGAGAATAACTCAGGATGACCGCCATGATTACAAGGTACAGCAATAATATTGATAGCCTCGAGGTGACCTTTTCTGGTGACCCCTCCCCACTGGATGGTATAGTATCCCAGTACGAGATAGCCCTACCCCCGCCTCCAACATTTCGCTAATTCGCCGGTAACTCTCCACTTGTATTCCTGAGTAAAGAGAGGAACTTTGAGAGTAGAGCATCTGGTATTAGAACACGCAGTGACCCCTACCAGGGTTCCAGCCCCCATACTCATTTTAAAATGTCGTTACGAGTAGTTTTGCCAATCATGTGACCAAAAGAAACGAAGGCTCTGGGGACAAGAACGGGCTCGAACCCAGACCGCTCGATCTCGAATCCCGCGCCTCCTACAGGTGTCTGTAGTGTAGCCATAACATGATCCATGAATTTGAAACCTATCAGCATTTCTGGTTTTGTCCACCTAATAACATCAATTTTCCTCGGCAGGTGACCATGTCATACTTACAAATTTACCAGGAGAAAATCTACGACTTGTTGAACTCTACAAATAAGGTTGAGCTAAGCTTGAGAGAACATCCTGTAAAAGGTTTGT